TATATATACATATATACACACATATATATATATATGCAACACCTCTCACAAATATTTTTAAATATTTGTGTGCACATGTATCATCCCTCTAAGATGTGAGTTCCATGCGGTCTCAGACCACACCTTTCTTCATCTCTGTAGCCCAATGCTGGCCATCTGGTGGCATAAAATGAATGTCCATTGAATGCACAAATATTGAAACTGTTCTAAACATCCTAGTTTCCTTTAGTAACTATATATTCATGAACTCACTGAAATTTGAAGCTCATTTCCAAATTGTACCACCTCTTAACAAGTAGCATAAATTTACTATCTGTTGGGTAAAATAGTGCTTTCTTTTATTTGTTGTAAAAATATTTCCTTCAAGTTTCCTGAGGTTATAACATAATAGTAACATTTAAAAGCAGTGCCTTCTCTTCATCACATTGGTTTTCTTTTGTTTTTGTTTTTAAAGATTTTATTTATTTATTTAGAGATTGTGCAAGCGGAGGGGAGGGGCAGAGGGAGGAGGAGGGAGAGAATCTCAAGCAGACTCTGTGCTGAGCCATGACCCTGAGATCATGACCTGAGCCGAAATCAAGAGTCAGATGCTTAACCCACTGAGCCACCTGAGTGCCTCTTCATCACATTGTTTTTTAATGATTCTTTCATGGTTTTCAGGAAGGTGATGTCTGGCCTAATTCATCAGCTGAAATCACAGTGTACTTTAATCCTCTGGAAGCCCGGCTCTACCAGCAGACAGTTTACTGTGACATTTCAGGTAAAGACTTTCTCTATGTGGTAAACTCAGGTTACCAAGTGCCCAGAGCATCAAGTGGGGTATCTGTGTGTGTGTGTGTGTGTGTTCAGACTATAAGAAGTGCATGATATCAATAGAGGAATAATAGAGTCAAGTTATACACTTGTCATTTTTTTTTCTAGAACAGGTCAAACTTTGAAGTACATTACACTTGTGGTGCGGTCGGGGCAGGGTGGGGATGGGAAACCATGGATCTGGGTTTACTCTTGATTTTTAGAGCAGTAGGAATATTACTTGACACAAATTCTCAAAATTTTATTTTTTGTTCTTTTTATAGTATTTGGCTATTTAATTTTTTCATTTCTGAGTTTTTAATCAAAATAATGTATGCCAGGGAGGATGGGAAGACAGCCTGGCAGTGGCCAGAATCAGCATGTGGGATGTACAAATAGAGTGGCAACCTGGTAGCTTCAGAAGATTGGATACAGATAGAAGCATTAAACAAAAAAGTAATCAGGATAACAAGAGCCAATATTATTTTTCAGTCTTGGAGGAGGCAGATATATCTATCTATCTATCTATCTATCTATATCCATATATGTACCTTAGAGAAAGGCTAAGATGAGTCTTTGGTATTGAAATGGAATTGGGGTTATCACTGTGAACCCATGGTTGTTGATATGCACAGATATAGAATGTATATGTAAATGTGTGTATATGTTTATGTATATTTCCTACCTATGACCACTGAGAGGTCCTGGCAGCTTTGAGATCCTAGTATCAGTGAGAACACCTCATAACCAAAGCTTGGTTTCTGAACCCAATCTCTTCTAAGAGGGACTTTTTCCAGGGTTGAGGTGGGGAAAGAACAAGATGAGCCTGGAACATCCTTTCATGTCAGAAACTAAGGAAATGCTCAAAGAATGACAGGGATATGTCAAAATGATACAGAAGCCAGCAAAGGGACTCCCACTGACCAAATTTGGAACAAGTGAAGAATCAAGAAAATAATGATACTAATAGATTATAATCTGTTGAATAAATAGGAATCTATGAATCCACTAAGTAAAAATTTACTATTTGGCAATCATGGTAATAATCAGTGCAGGTGAAAAGCATTCTTTTTTTTAATTTTTTTTAAAGATTTTTTTTAAATTTATTTATTAGAGAGAGAGAGCATGAGAGGGGGGAAGGTCAGAGGGAGAAGCAGACTCCCTGCCGAGCAGGGAGCCCAATGTGGGAGTCGATCCTGGGACTCCAGGATCATGACCTGAGACGAAGGCAGTCGCTTAACCAACTGAGTCACCCAGGCGCCCCGGTAAAAAGCATTCTTACACTTTAATGGGTCTCAAAATATCCTACCTCAAAATGCTTATTAATTATAAAGGGGCAAAATCTAACTTTACAGTGAAGAAATCTGGGAAATGTTATTTTAGTTAAGGCCAACAGTAATATGGCAGATCAACCTCATGGACTACTCACTAGGATATCATCAGAACACAGCATCTCTTCATTGATATCAGGGCCAAAATATCTAATGTGGGTCTAATTGTGGGGAAACATTAGACTAACCCAAATTGAAGAACAAAACAAAATTACCAGCCTGTAATCCTCAAAGACATCAAGCTCATGAAAGTCAATAAAAGACTGAAGAACTGTCCTAGATTGAGTGAGACTCAAGAGACATGACGTCTGGGTGTAACACGTGAGCCTGGACTGGATCCTTTGCTATAAAGCAGATTATTGGGTAAAGGGTGTATGGAATTCTTTGTACTACTCTGGAAGTTTTTCTGTGTTTAAAAAATGTCTCAGAATTCTTTTTTAAAATGCTGGTGCCAATAAATAAGTAAAAGAAGTAGATAATAAGATTAAAAATCTAACTAGTAGTCTTTTTCTCCAGTGTTACTTTCAAGAAGCACTTTTAGCTGTTTCTTGTGGTGGTAATTTTCCTTGCTAATTCTATGCTTATATTGATTGCTATTTGTTGATTTATCAGCTTGACATACTACATTTGAGTCCCCACTATGAAAGATGAAGATTTAGTTCACATATGATCTCACTGTCCCCTTGCTGGCCTTATTGAGTTATAATTTACATGCAGTGAAATTTGCCCTTTTTTGGTGTACAGTTCTGTGAACTTTGACAAACCTAAACAGTCATGTAACTGGACCCAAAATAAAGATACAGAATATCTCCATCACACCATAAAGTTCCCTCATTGCCACTTTGCAGGCAATCCCATTCCCCTACCTCAGCCCCTGGCAACCCAATTATTTTTATTATATTTTATTTTATGAGTTTTATTTATAGACTTAAATAATATACTTAAAACTATATTTTTTGTTCGATCAACTCTACAGTATCTCTTGACATGTAAGGATATTACCACCATTCCACCCTGTTTCTCTCTTACCTTCTGTGATTTGTTCTACTTTCGTATTGGAATGGCTGATAACCCTACTTAAGTTCTCTGATGTTGTTTTTTTTTTAAGATTTTATTCATTTATTTGACAGAGAGAGAGACAGCGAGAGAGGGAACACAAGCAGGGGGTGTGGGAGAGGGAGAAGCAGGCCTCCCGCTGAGCAGGGAGCCCGATGCGGGGCTCGATCTCAGGACCCTGGGATTATGACCTGAGCCGAAGGCAGACGCTTAACGACTGAGCCACCCAGGCGCCCCTGAATTGACTTTTTTGTACAGGTTTTGGGTTCCTCCTCCCACCCCGACCAATGTTTCTAATTCTTTATTTCTTCACTCTTGTCTAATTGTAGAATGTGTGCTCTTCTTTTCCTTGAAGACATTTTTCTCAGACCCTACCAGCTTCTCATTCTAAGTCAGATCCACCACCTCCTACACAGTTGTTACTCAGGAATTTTTAAAGTTTCCATGTGTGTTCCATTACATCTTTTTACTCTCACTTTGCTCAAGTAGCTTCCTCAGAAAGGGTCTATAGGAGGGAAACTTTGATCCTTGAATGCCTGATAATGTCTCATTCTGTCTCCATACTCACCTGATAGTTTAGCTGAAATTTCTAGGTTCACAGTAATTTCTCCTCAGAAGGTTAAAGACATTGTGCCAACTTGATGGTAAAAGTCCAGAAGTCTGAAGTCACCTAATTCACATTCCTTGATGGGTGGTCTGTTATTTCTCTCTCAATACTTTCTAGAGTTTTCTTTTTGTACTTGAGGTCTGAAATGTCATGAAGCCATGTCCAAGAGTGAGTTTTCTAATTCATCCTCCACAGCTTTCTGTGGGCCATTAAGAGTCTGCTTACTCATGTGTTACTTCAGCTCTGGGAAATTGTATTTTTTTGTGTGTACTTTCCTCCATTATTTTTCATTTTATTCTTCTGGAAATCTTAACAGTCTGATGTTAGACCTACAGGATTGATCATCTGTTCTCAAAGAACCAGATTTTAATCAAACATGAGTAATAAATGACATTAAATGCCATTTAATGCTATTAAATAAAGAGAAATATTTATTTGTTAGAAAATTCCAAGGTAGCAAGTATCATGCAGTCATAGGGATCCTTCCAATGCCTTCTGGTCCATGGTTGTCCTTTGTTTATAAGAATGAGAAAATGGGTTGAATTTTCAGAGTAGTTAGTGCTACTCACCTCTGCTGGGTAATGTGTGGGTCTCCCAGGATTTACAGCTGTGGTGGCTATTTTAATAATAAAATATTAAATGGTGAGAGAGAGTAGTAAGAGTGCATGATCACTAGTAGCTTCAAGTGCAAAAATCCCACTATTCTGCCCTACCTAGCATAGTCACTTTTCTCTGTGTATCAAGGGATCAAGCAGTCTAAGAACAGTGCAGAAAGATGGGCTGCGTAAGTCAAGACTATGCTGCCCTCCTCCTCCTCCAAGTATGTGTGTCCCTTTCTGACGATGTTTCCCTCATCTTCCCTGAAAGTAACTGCCACTTTGATTTTTATGATAGTTATTTTTTTGATTTGTTTTCAGGTATAAGTTAACTGCCTATGTGTTCATGTCTAAGCAAAATAGTATAGTTTTGCTGGTTTAAAAATTTATATATTGAAATTATACTCTATGCCTTATGCTGTTAGCACTGGGAAGATAAAGCCACTCAGTAAACATTGATTAAATGGATGCAAATAAGTGAACAGATGAATGAATGAGTGAATGAATCCTAGTTTGATCTGGTCTCTTCCTTGCCCATGAATGCAGGATTCTCAAGATGGCCCCAGAATGAATGCAGGATGGACTAGGAGTTTCAGGATTGACAAAAATCTGTTTTCGCACTTCACGCCAGCATCATCTGCCCCAGACTTCTTAATGGGTCTGGAAGAAATGTTGGTACAGCAGTGTTCAGACACAGGCTGGAAATGCTCCGGTGGCCCCACGCCACAGGTGGTGGGACCTCCCTCCCATCTATGACTCCCCGGGATGTCGTGCTTGGTCATGTTCCAGGCGGTTGGCTGCTCTCCTGGAGGTTCCCAAACATTAGACATAACTAGTTGTATTCAGCTATTGTTTTGTTTGCAGTTCTGAATCCTGCCACAGAATTCACATCCTGGATAAACTGAATAGTATAATTTTCCATCTGCATGACATTCTTCTTTATTTTGTTAGTGGTTTATTAAAAGACATGATTGCCAGAGAAGGGTTTTGTTTACATTGTAATTCCATATTATCTTCCTTGTAAATTCCATGTAATTCCATGTCTTTTCAAGGGCTGGTGATGATTCCTTAGTATTATCTTCAAAGAGTTGGTAAAACCTCCTGGTTTTAGGTCACTAAGAAATGCTTCTTAGGCAGATAGAAAAAGCCCTTTCCCTTGTTTTGTTTTGTTTTGCTTTGTTTTTTAATATACTTTGAGCATATAGAAGCAAATACATATAGCTATGCTTCCCCCTCATGCCTTTTTTACATAAATGATAGCATACTTTACACAGTGATTCTGACACTACTTTTTAAATATTTCTTTTTTTTGTTTTTTTTTTTTTAAGATTTTTATTTATTTGCGAGAGAGAGAATGAGAGACAGAGAGCATGAGAGGGAGGAGGGTCAGAGGGAGAA